GCAGGGTAGGAGTCCTCTTCAGCTAAGACGGTTTTATTTTTCTAACAGGGTTGTTGGCCTTTGGAATGAGTTGCCTTCAGATGTTGTAGAGACAGTAAATTTAAGTGAGTTTTAAGAAAAAGCTTGATAAGTATATAATATATATTTTTTAATTATTTTAATTTATTTTAGAGAAGGGAACAGCCGAGATGGACCAATAGGTCCCATATTGTCTCAAAACATTATTGTTATTATTTTCTATTCTCTGTTCTTGTTAGTTTTTCTTTATAATATAAAATGAATAAAATACTGGTTAGTGATCAGCATACCTAGTGATAACTGAAACAAGTAACAGTACCTTTGACAACAAATAAAGTTATTTAGAAGAGTTATTGTTTTAAATATAGTTTAAATATGGATATGTGTTATTGTACAATAAAACATAAAGGCTAAACACCACCTTGAAGCTTTATGATTTTCTTGACCCATAAGATTTCCATTTCATTAAGAGGAATTGCAGCAATATACTGAAAGAAAACATTTTAAAATATTGAATGGAGTTGTGTGGGAACACAAAGAGATATACAACATTGTTAATGTGTGGAACAATATGAAAGTGATTTCAGTTACAATATGAATGTGAGCCTTTGCTTTGTTGGCTAGGTTGTCATAGTGATATGTCATTATGTATGTTTAACAGCCAATCAGGTACAAGTTGATTTGTTGTCTTATTGGCAAGTTGAAATTATATGTTCAATAAATATTATTTGGTTTTGATCACCCACTAAAAATTTTTAGCTCTAGCCAAAACACTATTTGGGAGAAATACAGAAGGTTTTATCACTTGGTATTATACCCAAGTTGGAAAAAGTTGAAGTATATTTAGGTGACTGTAAGTGATGAAAAATGCTTTTTGATATCTCGGGAATTAGCCAAATTATGCCATCGAAGAACATATTAAATCCAGCATGGCTGAATATCAACACTTTTGTTAATAGGCTCCTGGAACACAATCTGAATATTTACCGTGCATGATGCAAAGTGTTCTTGAAAAATGGGGGAAATGTTAACTTTTTTTTTACATGCATTTCACTTTATGTGTTAATACTAGAATGTTTTGTGTTGTTGTTACCACATTTTTTTTTATAAAATATAATAAAACACTAATCCATGTTATGTTAAAAGCAGTAAATTAGTTCTTTGAATACGACAGTTTAGTCCTGGAAAGCCGTGGAATTTTATTTTCCATTAGCCTGTACTAACCATTTATACTAAAAATTAATATAGTAAATAATGTAGTTAATTTAATATGCTGGTCTAACTAGAAGTATGCAATGTCATAAAAAAAAATTCCTCCATATTCTGCTCTTTGTCCTGTGGCCCCTTCCTTGTGTCTCCCCACCTCTCTCGACAGGTATGTTGTCAAGGGACTTGGAGATCACTTGTTATTTGACTTACCCCTTAGTTGTGTGGGAGCTTAATTTTACCTTTTATGCACCTCAGTCCTTCATGTTTGATGGGCACCATCATACTTACACTTCAGAGGTTTCTTAAAATAAGTTTTTTGAAGGTTTGTTAGAGCCCCCAGGAAGTCTTTCATGACACCTGTTGTTTTGGACCCACTACTGGTCCTTTTCTTTTTACCAAGAAATAAATAATTTTGAATTCAGGTCCTGTTATTTATCATAGCATTTGCCATGCAATCAGCTTTTTGTTTTTTACACATACAGACTCACATGCAACTGTGTATGACCCTGTTGTTTGCCATGATTCCGATACTAATTACAAAATTTGATATTAATCATTAGCAAATTCAGAATAGCAATAAGAATTTAACAAATTTGATTATGACCTAAACTGCATTTGATGAACTACTTTCTGCATGAAACAAGGCTGCGAGAGCTGCCATGTTGATTGGAGGTTGTCATAGTTCAGTGGCATACTATGAACATGTCTTAGTTTAGCCAGCAAAACTGTTTTGCTGATAGGAAAACAGTACATTTCAGTTAATACAAATTAACTTTTAATGTCCAATTTTGTAAACAAAAAATTGAGATAACACATTAGTCTTCTAACAGACCTAATGGACTGTTTGGTGGGGCTGTTTACAGCTCTTGTGAATTTTTCAGTTAGTTGTGAAGGATTGCTACCTGTGGACTCCCTTTCCAAAAAGCCCTTTGGTCACACAGTGTTCAAAACTTGTATATTTTCAACAAGGGGTTAAGGGCTTTTGCACAAAATATGCACTCATTTTTAATCTTCTCATTTGGGTTGGCTAGTCAGGTTCTCAATGCTGGTATTGACTCTGACTCAGTATTCGATTCATTTGGGGGTCTTTCTCACTCATTTGTTGGGTAGGCTTTGTCTTCTCCCTTACTTCTCCTCCTCTTCCCATGTAAAAGGTTCTATCTGTTTTTTGGACAGTTAAGAGTTTGTGAATCCTTTCTGGTGTACCTATTTTCATCCTCTTCAATGAACTCTAGTAGATCAGTGGAATACATCCAGAGATTCACTGAGTTATCTCATTTCTCTGCTCCATTTCTTCACCTCTCGCTGTCATGGTGGTTCTATCAATCCTACATGATCCTGAGTATTCCTCTTTCTCAACCCCACTCAGACTGGCATTTATAAATGCCTTTGTTCAGGTGAGATTTGGTTCTTGGCACCTTCATTTCCATCAATGTCCTCAAGATGTTTGCAGTTCAACAGGCCTGCCATCACCATCTTTCATCTCTGAATATCTTATCATGATCCATTCAGACAATTCCGTTGTCATTTTTTTCATCAGTGAACAGGGAGGTATCACTCTCTTACTTCTGCTTTCTAGCTCTATAGCTCCTTTTTTGGGCCCAAAACCACATTCTGTGTTTGGCCTATTATGCTCTAGGAGCTTTGAGTGGTCCTTACATCCTCTGGTGTTTTAGTAGATATTTTCTTACATTTGGAGTATTTGTCTTGATGCTTTTAAAATTCCTCTCAACAATAAGCTTCTACTCTTTTGGTCACTAGTCCCAGACTCTATTGCCCTAGCAGTGGATGGGAGTGGTCCAACCTCTCTCTGTATGCATATCTTCCTCTTTGACTCCTTCCTAGGGTGCTATCTCTAATTTGCAGTACCTCTTGTTAGGTTCTTTTAATTGCTTCTCTTTGACCAACTCAGCTGTGGCTTCCACTCCTTTGTCTTTTGGCAATCTGTTCACTTACAAGACAGACATTATTTTTCTCACAGAGTTAGCCACTGTCTTGCTTATTCTTGAAGGTCACCCACCCTTAAAGTTTATCAGTGCAAGTGGATTATTTATTGATGCTGATCTATCCACCACTCCCTTAATCTAGGCTGTCTAACTATCTCTTACCTCACTTCTTTTTTTTGAGAGCAGTCTATATAAACATATGAATCCCAGTTACTTTTTTTTCTGGTTCTTATGGGCCTCTTTAGGGCCTTTGTAGTTAATCATCCTCCTCATCCCATCTCTTTTCCAAGCTGGAACCTCTGTTTAGTTTTCGGACCTCTCACAAGCCCTCCATTCAAATCTATAGCCACCTGTTTTCTGTTTTGTATATTTCATAAGATTTATTTTCTTCTTCTAGCTTTTGAGAGATGTCACTCAGATATTTGTGTTTTAGAGAACTCCTGCACTATTTCATTGTGTTATTAGTTCTTACATAAAAAATCTGATTTGTAAACACCTAAATAAGATTGATAATAATTATAGTTCACTTGCTTAATCTGGTTCACACCATAACAGTCATTGTTCATGAAAATTTATATATGTTGTACTCCAGCCAGCCTGATTAACCCATGTATTGAGCATGAGGCCTCATCAGCACTGGATATGTGGCAGGTGTAGTGTGATTGGCATATTATAACATATTATCCTTTGCTATTGCTGATGTACTTTTAGAAATAAGTTGTTTTTTTTTTCCAGACCACTCCTTTGTTCCAAGGACTTCAACTGTTTGTGAGG